TAGTGCTTAGAGAGGCCTCCACATTTAAGAATGCTTACCGGTCTTCTGGCTGCTACCTCAATCCAAGAAACTAGATTTCTTTCAGCTTCATTGACTTTTTGCTAAGGGAGCAAGCAATTTTCTTCTGGCAGGGAAACCATTTGACAGGTGCATACTCCTGTAGAGGAAATTTAAGCCAGACACCTACCCCTGCGGACAACTCATTATTCTTTTAAAGCGGGGCAGAGCAGCCAAGGGCTTGATTCCACCCCTAGAGGTAGTATTCTGTATTGGCAACCACCAAGAGGTTGCCTGGGAAACCCTGCTCAGAGACAGATGTGTCACTTTTAAAACAAACTTCTCCCTTTAAGAGCTGCTGCTGCTAAGTCACTTCAGTCTGTCCGACCCTGTGCGACCCCATAGACGGCAGCCCACCAGGCTCCCCCGTCCCTGGGATTCTCCAGGCAAGAACACTGGAGTGGGTTGCCATTTCCTTCTCCAATGCATGAAAGTGAAAAGTGAAAGTGAAGTCGCTCAGTCATGTCCGACTCTTAGCGACCCCATGGACTGCAGCCTACCAGGCTCCTCCGTCCATGGGATTTTCCAGGTAAGAGTACTGGAGTGGGGTGCCATTGCCTTCTCCACTTTAAGAGCTAATGTGTGAAAAAGAAAAAAAAAAAAGAGCTAATGTGTGCTAATACAATTCTGTCATGCAGTAGTTTGAAGCTTTTCTTTTTATACTCTGAGAAATTTTTTTTTTTAAGTTTTCTGATGATAAAACTACCATGCTATTGTATAAAGTTAAGACTAAAGAAATATCAAAAAGGAAAATTAAAACCATCTATAACCCCCACACCCAATGGTAATTACTGATGAGACTTGTTTTTTTTCTCTAGCACTGCTTGGAATTTTAAAACAGATTTGGAAATAGGCTTAATATTATGTGAGGGTAGCTTTCTGCACAATTATTCTTTAATTGAAACATCCCCCTCTACACAATTTAAACACTGAATTTTTAAACTTCTGTACTTAATGTTTTTATATTTTTTTTAAATTATTTTCTGGGGCTTTCCCGAAGGCTCAGAGGGTAAAGAGTCCACCTGCAGAACTCAGACTGGAACTCTGTAATAACCTTAGACACGTGGGATGGGGAGGGAAGTGGGAGGGAGGTTCAAGAGAAAGCGGACATAAGTATACCTATGGCTGATTCATGTTGATGTTTGGCAGAAACCAACACAATACTGTAAAGCAATTATCCTTCAACGTAAAAAAATATATTTTAAAAAAAGAATCTGCCTGCAATTCAGAAGACACAGGAGCCTCGGGTTCAATCCCTGGGTCGGGAAGATCCTCTGGAGGAAATGACCACTCACTCCAGTATTCTCACCTGAAAAATCCCATGGACAGAGGAGCCTGGTTGGCTACAGTTCACAGGGTCACAAAGAGTCTGACCAGACTGAGCGACTAAGCACAAGCACATTGTTTTCTTAGCATTGCTAATTATAGAGATAGGGTTACTGTGCCATTCAAGTAAAAAGATTTTTAAGGCTCTTGACACACAGCCCTGATTTGCTGTCTGGAAATGTTATAATCTGTGCTTTCATCAGTGAGGCACATTTCTCTATATACTCATAAAGTGCTATATTTGCTATAAAATGTTCACCTTTGCCAATGTGACAAGAAAAAACAATGTTACTGAATTCTTTTCTATTTCTTTGGTTACTAATGAGGGTGAGTGTTTTTCATCTGGTGTCCATTTAAAAAATTTACGATCACTTATTAACAAACTTTTATATATAATTGGCAGAATGGTGAATGCCATTGATCTGTTTCTGATCTCTCAAAGCACATCTCTTCATATTCAAAACTGTGTAAGCAGGTGAAATGCCAAGAAAATCTGATGCTTTCTTAGTCACAAGAAACCACGTACACTTCAGAGAAAACAAAGAACATTCCCAGACAAATCATTCTCCATTTTTAAGTCTATATGGTGAATTGTTCGTGTCCTTTGTTGCATTTTTAAATGTTCAAAATTTTACAGTTCCTTATTTGAAGAAGTAATTTTTTTCTCCATGTTTGTATTGATCTGTCTTTCTTCTGTCTTTCTCCCAGCTTTCTGGTGTGTGCTGTTTCATCTGACTCTCTGCAGCCCAGGCTCCTCTGTCCATGGGATTCTCCAGACAAGAATACTGCAGTGGGTTGCCATCTCCTTCTCCAGGGGATCTTCTCAGTCCAGGGATTGAACCCACATCTCTTGCATTGGTAGGTGGATTCTATACCACTGTACCAACTGGGAAGCCCAACTTTATGCTGATATAATTGATATCTCATTGTGTAAGTTTAAGCTATACAACATTTTGACTTTATAGAACATAAACACTGTGAAATGATTACCACAATATACTTAAGTAACACATTCATCATTTTACATACGACTTTTTTTTTTTTGGTGAGATTTAACATCTACTGTCTCACCAACTTTACACAGTACTTATAAAAGAATTTTGTAAGTATTTAAAAAATATTTTCTTAAAACATTTACTTATTTGGCTGCACCAGATCTTAGTCACAGCACAGTACGTGGGATCTTCTATCTTCTTTGCGGCATGCAGGATATTTAGTTGCAGCATGCAAACTCTTAGTTTCGGCATGTGGGACCTAGTTCCCTGACCAGGGATTGAACCTGGGTCCCCTACATTGGGAGCAAAGGACACGCCAGCCGGGAAGTCCCTCTTGTTCTTCATTTAAATTAATTTAATGTCTTTCGTTTTTAAGTATGATAACGACCGCTGTGGTTTAAAAGGGAAACCTTTATAACATGAGAATATTAATACCGTGTATTTTCCTAAGATGAAGAACCAAAAATCAACCTATTTGGAAGAGGAATGGATTAGGAAACTTTATTGATAAGAACTTCTGTTCCAATAACATTTATAGTACATAAAATATCAGTACTTTCTGGTTGAGAAAACAGAAACCCTGGCTATGATATTGATGCTGACTTAAGAGAGACTGTAAGGCAAGAGTCCAAATAAGAATTCAACCAATAAGATATAAAAAAAAAAAAAAATTCAACAATTTATACACAGGTAAGAAGTCAAAAGAAGACAGTTTTTTGGGAGAGGCTGATATGCACATTTTATTTAATAAACATAATGTACAATGACTAAAAGAACAGTATATTCCCAGGAGAAGTAAGAGTGTGTATGTATACCTGGATTAGCACCTAGAAAGTACATAGAAAAGAAAAAAATGGGAAAGCTCTCTACGAAGACCATCTGGGCCCGGGTTTCTATGAGCACATTCTCCAGACACTTGGTAATATTCCAAGTGAGCTTGGTGATCAGCTGACTCAGTTAACTGCTTCATTCTTCAGTGCTTTAGGACAATAGATGTATCAACGTGATGCATTTTAGACCTTAATTTAAGAAAGGGGTAACAAGTTTTACACCCACCCTAGTTTTATTCCAAAACTATTGCACTACACATCTGTGGTACACCATGAGGAAGATACTGGAAACGCAAAGGAAGCTTTCTTAACTGCTTGTGTGATGTGATCTTGTGCAAAAATGGTGCCCTGGGAATTACAATTTCCCAGGTACTCTGAGAGTCTGCAGACATCAGATTGTGAGGAGCATCACGATGGTGTATTTAGTTGCGAAAGGCTCCACCAGGATTAGACAAGGCTCCACGCTGCCAGGGGCTGGAGAGCTTTACCAAATGAGCTCTGAGTTCCCATTTCACTGTACATTTGGCGCCATTTTCTTTGGTTATATCATATTAACCATCAGGAGGAAAACGCCTTTGCTTACAAAACAGATCAACAGTCCCTAACTGGGGGAAATTCTGTCCCCCAGGAGATATCTGGCAATGTTTGGAGACGATTTTTCACAACTGGGGGGCTGCTACTGGTGTCTAGTGGGCGTAGACGCCAGCAACACCACTAAATACAATACACGAGGTGGCGCCAAATAAAATGTCCTCAGGCTCCAAATAGTACTGAGGTTGAGAAACCCTGAAAGAGGCTTATGTGACATGTGACTGGGCTGTCCATAGTCACAAGCACACTATGGAAGCAGAGACGCCTCCCTCCCTTGCCTCTACACTTTAAAGCTCAGAGAGATGTTCCATCAGCTCTCACCTGCAGAGACCTATTTATTCCTGGCTTCTGACTCAAGACTTAGGGCCACCACCCTAACCAAGAGCTCAGGGAGTATCTGCTGAATGGAAGGAGGACAGAGGCGCTGGAAGCACGGTTCAGTCTCCAATCGACTGTACTGAACAGTAACTTCTCATGACTGAAAACGTGATTCAACGGTGTCATGTTCTCTGACTGAACAGGACCTCAAAGTTAGGGCTAACACATTGTTAAAGCTGGAGCCAACATTTCAGGGAGAGTGTGTCTAAGTATTTCTGCATTCATTTTAGTGGGGCAAACCAAATAAAACAGTGTTAAAAGGCAAATATTCAATATACTTCATTTCAAACAAACAAAAAGAAATGGAATTAACACATGAAAATGCCATGCACAGCGGACATCATTCCTTTTTTTTTTTTTACATATTTACAATTTTACATATTTACTTAGCAATATATCTTCTATCTTTACAATTATAAAAGTATGTCAAACTGTAGAACAGCGGTACCACATACATTTTTTGTAGCATTCATTTGTTTTCTCCTTTAAAAGGCAATTATTTAACCAAATGCAAAAACACAGTGAACGCCACAGAGGAAGCACATAGGAAAACCATGGAGAAAAAAATAGATTTATAGACAAACTTTTCACACAAGCCTTAAATGAATCTATTTCAGTGACTCAATAAATAGTACTTTATTATTTACTAAGCCTCCCCTGACAGGAAAACAAAACGAACAAAACAATCCCCACAAACTGTACCTTTAAAAACACTGTGATACTTCTAAGCAATTAAGTTATACTCTAGACCCCAATCAGTGGACTGCAGGAAGGGCTGGCTACAATTCAGGCTCAAATAAATACTATCCATGTTAAGTTTTCATCATCCTGCATAAACTTGAGGTTGCAACGGTGGAGGAAGTTTATCATTTTCAACATTTTCAGAGTCAATAGCTGCTACAGACTGATTTGGGGGTCTAATTTCAAGTGGGTATTTCTCAACAATGTCTTGAACCTCTTTTGCAATTCCATCTGTCCAATCTATGAGGTCTTTCTCAAGTTTCTTAGCTTCATTCATAATCCTTTCCTGTCGTTCATTCAACTGAGACAGGAGGTCCAAATTCTTGTACATCTGCTTCACACCTAAGCAGGCATCAGGAGACCAACTCTCAGATTCCTGCTTCCTGGGAGAAGTCTGGCCAGACATGTATCGGTCAAAATCTTCCTGACTTAAATTCAAAGACTGAGCATCTAATTTCTCAATGAAAGCCACGGCACAGCACTATAAAAAGAAGAGAAAGTCATTTATTATAGTTATATAGGAGAGCTACAAACATTCAAAGAGAAGATTAAAAAATCCATTTATTACAAAGAATTTAAACAGAGTAAAAACTTGACAAGATAATCTTATGAACCTATATGGACTTCAGCTTCAAAAATTACCATGGCCATTTATGTTGTTTCCTTTATACTCCCATTTGCAATAATGCATTTCTTCCTTTAAAAAAATTAAATCTAACTGCCAAGTTCATTGAGCCAGAAATTCAGTCCTCTCCTTGGGTGGTTCGAAGGCCCTAGGGTCTTGTACAGAATGAAATATCTGAAGAGGCACCTTTAGTATTCATTCCACAATGGTTATCACAGAGCTTCCTGTATGCTTCCTTGAAGTCAGAGGCGCTCTGCTTCCCTGCCACGCTGCAGGGCAGAGGAATCACGGTGTGGCCTGGAGCTCCAGGGCCACGGCCCACGAGGCCCTTCCCAGCTCTGCAGACCCACCCAGCGCACGGCCTGCCACTGAGCATCTCTGCAAGCACTGGTGGTCCTCAGAGATGTTTTAATGTCAAACAGTTAAAAAAAATATACTTTGATACAAGTCAACCTGAGTGAAATGTCACCTCTATCAACTGACAGCCCAGAGCTGTGTGACCCTAGAAAAGTTACCTAAGCTCTCTAAGGTTCCCACATTTGTAAAATGCGGGAAATACCACCCAGAGTTATTGTGAGAATTAAATAATGTAGCACGTGTCTCAGGCTTAGCTCACAGGTCTGTAGTAAGCAATGAATAAATGGTAGCAATCATTAGTACAGAAATGCTGGGGGAAATGCTGGGTGGCACAGACATCTTAGTTATATTCCCTTAACTAATTTTTTCTAGAATATACCTAGAATTATATCTATAGAAATATATATAGAATTCTAGAATATAAACATACCATTTTCACACTTTTTTTAATAAAGTATTTTCATGAGAAAGACATGAAAAATATAACAGGAGAAAATAGGCAGCTCTCAGAATTTCTTTTGAGAAACTCGTTCATAGGATCTTACCTTATTATTCATAAAAAAGAGAATCTCCTTAAAGAATATTTAGCAAATCTATTTCAACAGCCTCATCTGACAAGAAGGGGCCTGTCTGACCCTCACCACCGGTTCACACTATGTGTGTGGAATCACTGCAGCCTATTTTCTGGAAAGAAGAGGCAGATAATTCTGACGTTCCTGGCCTAGGGGAGTAGATACATGGTACTGCCACTAATGGAAACAGTACATAATGGAAAAGAAAGAAACATTTGATGGGAAAGTAGCTTCAGTTCTGAACAGATTAAATCTGAAGCACAATAAATTAGCTGGGAAGCTCAGAGTGAAGTCAAAACTGCAGGTCATCACTGTGCAGGTGACCAGCAGCGCTAGGACCAGAGGAGACGGTCTAGGCAGAGAGGTGCACGGAGGACAGAGCCCCCAGGGAGCGACACGTTCAGGGGGACAAGGAGGACACCAGGCCCCCAAAGCCCAGGGAGATGGAGTGGAATCGCGGACGCTGAGGCACGCGAGACGTTCCGGAAGGAAGGCGTCACCGGGGGTGTTAGAGGAAGGAACCGAAGCAGAGGCCCTAAGGCATGTGGCAGCGGGCTGATTTTTTTACTTTTGCCACAGTGGTTTCACTGGGGCCGTGACTCTGAGTCTGGCAAGAAGAGGATGAAGAAAAATGGTGTGCACACAGTTAAGGCTGTGGGTCAGGGGGCCAGGAAGAGCTGCAGAGTGCAGGTGATTCAAGGATCCATCTTTTTAGACAATTTACCAGAAACGCTTCCTTATGTAACCTGGCCTCCCCTCCTACCTATTGCCCTGTATAGCTTCCAGCACAGGAAACAAAGAACATAAGGTGACTTGAGGCTCAAATTCATGAGTGTGACAATAAATCTATTCTAACACAAACGAGAAGTCCAGCAGTCAACGGTCAGTCATGTGGCCTCAGGCCTTAGATGTGCGTACCTCATGACTGTTCTGCCTAGTGTTAGTTAGTACTGTAAAAAACAAGAGCTGGAAATCACTGCATGTCCTCTATGCATCAGCATCTCAGTATTCAGTTTTAAGAGGGAATTTGCAGAAATGAAACAAAAAATAAATAGTAAGTCTTTTAATAAAGGAATCAGCCCAAGATCTGATTTATTCATGGTTGAAACAAGCAAGTAAATGAGCGTTCTTACAGCCGGGTCTCCGGGGAGTGACAGCCAGTAGCAGCAAAGACACTCAACGTGGCCATCACGTGTCCTGTAGGGGAACCACAGTGGCTCAGTCCTGGGAGGTGGAATGTGTGCCTGGCCTGGTCACATGTGCTCTGTGATACCAAGTCAGCTCTGTGCTGATCCCTCAACTCCAGAGCACGCACATATCACAGGCCTGTGAGAGCCCTTGTCACATCCTTCAAATGAATACCTTCTGGGTTCTTCTCCACACCACCACCAAGTCAAGTCCTTACCAGATTAGTGAAATAGTAGCCATCCTCGCCCGTCATCAGCCGGCTTGGGTTGCAGAAGCGGGTGATGTACTGAATGTTGGACTGAAGGCGTGGGGGGTTGCCCTTCAAGACAATGTAGATGAGCGTGGGTAAGAAGTCATCGGCTGAAGCCGGCTCGCTCTTGGTGATCTTGATGGCATTGAAGATGTGCTTGCTGCACCTGGTGATGCAGGCCAGCTTATCCCGGGGCACACGCTTTGAATCCATCTCAATGATATCTACAACGGAGAAGGGATGCTGCTTCCAGTGAGGAGACTATTACACCAAAGAGGTGTCGGGATCATCCTATTTCGTCTCTTAAGTTACAGAGGTGCCCTCGCTAACCCTTTCTCCACTAGTTAACTTAGCATATGAGAAAGCCTGCAACAACAGTAGACACTAGCTCACACTTGGGCACATGTGCCCATCAGCCAGGCCCTACACTGCGTGCTCTACAAGCATACTCTCTCCATCCCCAGGGTATGCATGTGCACTATTATTATTAAGGGAGCTGAGGTTCAGAGAGGGTCAATGATTTGCCCAAGATTATACAATAAAAAGGCTCATAGCAGGGATCTGAAGCCAAGCTTATCTGAGTTGAAAGTGCATTCTTTAAGTCATGATGTAAAATGCTTATGAGCTCCCCAGAGAAATAAGCAGAGTCGTTTCACTGTTTTTGTTCCTTGTAAATACATTGTAAAACTCAGTTCAGAAGGCCTGATTTGCATACAGCTTTTTAGAAATGTGGCTATTTTACAAGGCATCTCTGAGCTAGATATTAAAGTGCAAGCGGCTGAAATCCATCACACAGAGGTCCACAGTGGCCAATCCTCACGGCATATAAATCTCCCAATAGCAATAAGTATCTAACAACAGCTTTATGACACTTATAACCTGCTGGATAGCAGCAAAATTATTTCACTGCCCTTCCCTACCACTAAGTCCAACTAGCAGGCTCTTACAAGTTCACATTCTTGTCACAAGGACTAGGAGGCAATGAGGAAGGGTCAAGCTTGAACTCTGCACTCTCAGAACCACACAAAAGGAGGGCAGGAGGGTGCCTCTGGACAGACCTGCCTACAGTCTAGAACACCATGAAAGAAAAGAGCTGAAGTGGTTTAATTTGACACCAATTTCTTGCCATTAGCAGAAATAAAAGTTTCAGATTTAGGTGGTTTGGGGGTACATGCCAGTTTTGTTCTGCTCTCAGCTCTCATCCCTGGGGTCAGCTACCTGGGGAAGTTCTCACAGGACCATCAGCCATGGAAGACTAACATGTGGGAGACAGGAACACTGGACAGTGCTGAGACCTTATTTTAATTTACTAATATTTTTACCCCTCCCTACTTACCTGTCTATTGTATGAATTATATAATTTTTGTTTTATTGTTTAAATTTTTATTCTGGGTTTTAATTACTGTTACTATGTCTCAGTCTATTTATTTTTCTTTTTCTATTTAAATACGACTTATTACCAAAAAGATCTGGGGGAATGTCTATATATATATATTTTAAACCATTTTCACCTTATTTAGCCTTCTGTCTTTTACTGTTGGTTTACAATCTTCATATCAAATATTAACCATGTTCTCATTAATCTTTATTCCTTAAGTTTTAAAATGAATTAAAGTGAATTATAGGCACATATTTTATTGCGCTTCACAGATACTGCATTTTTTTTTTTTTTTTTACAGATTGAAGGTTTGCGACAACCTATGTTGAGCATCTCTCAGCACCATTTTTCCAACAGCATTTGCTTATTAATTACTCTGTGTCACATTTTGATATTTCTTGCATATTTTAAACCTTTTCATTATTATTATGTCTGTTACATGATCTGAAGATGATAATTGAAGATCTCAATGTTACCATGGTGCTTTGGCATTTTTAGCAATAAAGTCTTTTTAAAATAAGGTATGCATATTGCTCTTTAGACATAATGCTACTGCACACTGAAGAGACTACAGTACCATGTAAATAGAACTTTTATCAGCACTGGGAAACCAAAACATCCGTGTGGCTCACTTTACGATGGTGTTTGCTTTATTGCGGTGATTGGGAACCAAACCTGTAGAATCTCTGAGGCATGCCTGTATTTTCTATCTGGACACGTGTGTAGCTGCCCTGCCAAGGAGCAGGGCCAGCAGTGTAAAAAGAAAGAGAAGAGAAGAAAAAGGAAGGAAAATAAAGGGGAAAACAAAACCCAAGGGACTTCTTCCACACTCTCCATCTGGTAGTGAACCCCACCCTTGCCCAGTATCTTGAGTCTGAGAAAAGTTTCTTTTTGCTTGTGGACCACCCATCCCCAGGAGCAGTTCCATGATTTGTGCTGCCCTGAAGTCTAAACTAGGAGATGTGGAAAGAAAAGTAAACAACACAGGAAACTCACGACTGCGTTAGCTGTTCCTCTAGTAATGACTTCCCTTTCCAATCTATCTGCTATGACTTACTTTTCAGAATCCTCAGATACTGCTTTGTTTTCTGTTCAAGGCTTTTGAAAAAAGTGAAAGCATTAGTTTCTCAGTCATGCCTGACTCTTTGTGACCCCCATGGACTGTAGCCTGCTCGGCTCCCTTGTCCATGGAATTCTCCAAGCGAGAACACTGGAGTGATTGCTATTCCCTTCTCCAGGGGATCTTCCCAACTCAGGGATCCAACCCAGGTCTCCTGCACTGCAGGCAAATTCTTTACTGTCTGAGCCACCAGGGGCCAGGAGGAAAGATAGGGTTGAGGGTGGGGACTCTATCTTAGCAGATGTCCAGACTTATCTTTAATGGGGTTTTGAAAGCAAAGTAGGCAGTACTCCGAGGTCAGTCAAACTGGGTGCTAGTGACATTTTGGCCAGATTGATTCTGCTGCAGGGACTGTTCTGCACACTGCAGGGTGTTTAGTAGCACTCGGGGGTTCTACCCACTAGACGATGGATGCCAACTGAAGTGGCACAGGCCTCAGTGCAGTGTATTTATAAACAAAAAAGACAGTCCTGATTAGAAGCAGTGATTTGGAGAAAGTTCAGAGATTATCTCCACATTTAAGACTATTGTTAGCGACTGTCCTTTTGAAGGTTGACAAGTTTATAGTGTAGGAAGAAAGTGATCATATCAACTCTGGTCCTCAGTGGCAGAATGTGGCAGCTCTTGGATTGGCAAGAAGAGGGGGCTAAGATGAGAGCATAAGAAGGCTTTTAAAATTTCGTGGCTATACTTTTACTATCAAAAGATCTCTTCAAACTTCATCTTAGATGCCAAGAGAGCCAAGTCCCACAGCTCAAATTCTGTTAACAAACTGCTGATATATTATTCTTTCTTATTTTTATTTTTCAGTAAACAATGATTTGGCACTTGTAGTTTCTGGTTTTATAAGGTCTGTCCTGTGGCTTTTCAGAAAAGAGTCCCCAACATAAATTCCTATGAAGTACTTTAAATTTAAAACAGTTGATCTTGAACTTACTAGTAAGAGTCTTTGGGGGAAGACATAAGTACAAGTTTCAGGCTTCACTTTCAATCTCTTATGGATATCCCCTGAGCAAAAGGCAGGGGTGGGGGTTGGGCCTTGACCCAAAACGGTCATTCATGGGACCCATGAGGAGCTTAGCAGAAAAGCTCTGAGCAACAAAGAGGATGGTATTTAGTGAGGACAATTAAACTCTACGCAGGGAGTTACAGAAAATAATACATTTTATACTGAGCTGAAATGTGAAAAAGTACAAAGAGAAGCAGAACCTGAGAAAGTGGAAGAATCATGTTAGCTAGAAGATAATTTAGTCCCTGAAGGGACCTTGGAGCTAAGTTTCTTTAACAGCCTCGCCTCCTTTCCAACCCTGATAATATCTTAAGCAAACCCTCATTTCTTACTGCAACTCGAGTCTCTGGTTCTTATAACCAAAGGAGACTACTTAATGGCATGCCTCCAGCACTGCTAACATCAGCTGACCCACTTTCCTTCCCAGCAGAATTTCATTAAAAATCTCTAAATTGGTACTCTCTTTCCAACTCTTCTCCTTAATTAAGGAGAAGTTGGACAAGTTGGATGTCTTCTCCACCAGTTTTGTTTTAAAACTTTTGTGTTGCACTTCTGCTGGGTTATTCCTTGATTAAGAAACAGAAACCTTATTAGGTGAATGTTGGAGCCACATCGATTTATGGCACTTCATTTACTTCTCCAACTAACCAGAAAAGAAATTCAAAGCACATCTCTGATTAACAACCAACTACAGGCATCATCGGAAAAGGCAATAGCACCCCACTCCAGTACTCTTGCCTGGAAAATCCCACGGACAGAGGAGCCTGGTGGGCTGCAGTCCATGGGGTCGCGAAGAGTTGGACACGACTGAGCGGCTTCACTTTCACTTTTCACTTTCATGCATTGGAGAAAGAAATGGCAACCCACTCCAGTGTTCTTGCCTGGAGAATCCCAGGGACGGGGGAGCCTGGTAGGCTGCCGTCATGGGGTCGCACAGAGTCGGACACGACTGAAGCGACTTAGCAGCAGCAGCAGCAGCAGCAGAAACATCATTTTAATATATAATTCTAGCTTGGGGTTAACCATGCCTCACCAATTTCATCTCTCGAAATTATTTTGACATATAAATACAGTTGAGTTTTAAGAAATTTACCTAGTTGACTTTAGGTCAATGCTCAAGAAATAAGAAATGGTCATGGAAAAATGAAGGGGGAGAGTGGTTTAGTTGCTGATCTGAAAATGTTTCAAATTCATAAACCTCACACTCTTAACTCACTTTTACTACATTCCAATATAGCTTTGGCAATCTGCATTTTAGAAGTATTTTAGAAATACTATCTTTTTGCTCACTGAAATAAGTATAGATTTATAAAGCAAAATGCTAACTTCGAGGGGAAAACATCCAAATACAAAAGTTCTTAGTTTCACTGACCTGTAATTGCTTTCACCACCATGTCGGACACTTCTGGAATTTCTTCATTGACAGGGACACAAAGCATCTGCGGTGTAACCCAGTGCAGGGCTCTACCGAGAAAGAGAGACAGACAAGTGAAAAAAAAACGTCCAAGGATGGACTGTAATCATTTATCATGTTATTTCCTCAGTGATAGGAAAAGACGGGACACCACTGGCTCATCAGGCAATCCAAGCCCCTGCACATACTAACGGCTCAGCTGATGTGCCAGGCAACTGGAATCCTATGATGAGGCTTCTCTTCACTTATCACAAGAAAGCAGAAGACAATTTTTCCAGTTGAAATGAAATTATACTACATTGGAAAAGCACTGGATATTTGAGAATGAAAATGTGGGAAGAACCTGCTGCTCCCTGTCCTCACTGCCCACATTTCAGGCTCTCCCCTTGACTTCTGAGGCACACCAGAGCCCAAGTCAGAGATCATCAGGCATATGGCACTTCTGCCTGAACTGCTGAGATTTCTGGTCATGTGGTGATTCCACTCATGAAATTTTGCTGCCAATCCTCACCACATGCTTGACTAACGCTCTCACCTCAGTCTAAAGCCCACTGAGTTACTTCTGGTTTCCTCCCTTATCTTCCCAAGATCAATTCCACACTTCCGATGAAACATCACTAAGTTCAGAGCTACGGATTACCAATCCCGCTGTCCAGGAACCCCACTTGTGATCTGAGCTCCCTCTCCTCCAGAACCCCTTTTCATCTCAGGCCTGGCCCTGTGCCCACACGTCGATGGCCTCTCTCCCCAGTGCTCCGCGGCCACTGGGGACTCAGTCTACTGGCCATGGAGGAGTGGGTGCTTTGCACAGTGTTAGCCATCCAGGCTAGTGGAAAGAGGCAGCAGCAGAAATGGCTGAATCACCCCTGGGAATAACAAAGAAAGACAACACACACTGTCTTCATACGGATTTTCACAGCTTCCTGCCTGACAAGACAGTTAGTGCAGTGAAATGAGAAAACAATGAAATTTCCTCTTGTTCCTTGGAAATTTGGGAGATCTGAACAGTCTCAAATACCAGGCATGGTTCTCATCTAAAGCTGCCTGGATTCAAACAGATGAGCAAGATGGAGACCTGAGTCTTTTCCTCTTGTCAATTTACCACATTCCTTTTCTTTCTGACATCACAAAGGAGTTTATATGCTAAGGATGGCTCACACCTTAGCTGTTACTTGCACCCAAGGTCTGAAACTCAAGGGCCCTGTTTTCTCAGATGTGTTCTTCCAACAGGAGGCAGTAAATACAACCAGGAAAAGCACAGCAACCAACTACCTGATCCTCTTCTGAATAGCAAGATCTTTCTTCTCATCATCAGTAGTTTCTGGGCAGAACACGTATTTATAGAGACGAGTCATGATGTACTTTTCAATCTGATCCATTATCTTCTCAACTCTTTCTGGAGGCACTGAAATATTCAAAAGGATATTTGAATGAAGGATGAACATTTGAAATGAAGAGTGATATTTTCATAGTACTTTCAATGTAGCAGAAAACTAATTTATCAGAAATACATTAAAAACACTCAAGCAAAAGTATAAGATATTAAAAAACACTCTAAAAAAATTATCCCAACTTTTGGGGCTGCCTTTTACAGAATCCCTACTTCTAGCTGAAGCTGTCTGGCAGGACCTAACAGGTGTACACCCTGCTTAAAGAGAAGACCGTAGCAAGGTGCTACTTTAGAAAAGCACTTGAAATTCCCAAGACTGGCAAGTGCTGGCAAGACTCACCCTTTCGCTTTTCAGAGGTCTACTATATGACCTTAGGGGTCACTCTAAAGTAAACAAATGGGGCAGATTTCTCACCAAAATGGCAATTCTGAGATGAGGGTTTTATTTAGAAGCCTCCCAAGGGGTTTTAACTGACTCTGTCCCTATTCCCAATGAAATTATTAAATATTGCTCAAGAAATTATCCAATTGCCTGATTATCTTGGAATTATATACGTGGTAGTATTCAAAGATACTGCTAAGTATAAAACCAACTATCTGAATGCTAGTGAAGTAAGCTACAGTACAGAGCAGGCAAACCAACAAAAGACTTGAGAAAGAGAGAAACTACTGAGAGACTCAGCAGGAGGGCTGTCCAACTACCAGCAGGCCCTCGGAGGCAGGCTAACAAAGGATTACCTTTTCCACGAGTCTGCATTCTTTCAGCCACATTCTGGTAAAAATCCTGAGTACATTCTGACTGCTCCTCAATGCTTAAGTCCTGAAACAAAGGGACAAAGAGGCTGCTAAGTAACTGAAAGACAGATCATGAGGAAAGCTCTAAATTTACAAAACCCTACTCCTTGAACTAATCCCAGAAGTACTTAAGAATTCAATTACTGCTGCAGGGAAGAAAAGCCTGTCCTTTAATATTCTTTACCACATTCCATGACTTCTCATTTCTTTTTGCTGTATACACATATTCTTACATGGGTATAATGCATATTTTGAAAATTTACATGTGTATGTATGTTCTGACTTACCTAGTCTATTAAATCATTTGATGGCTTTATAATATTCCATTATATTAGCCAATTTATTTAACCATCTTCTACCACTGTGTGCCATGGGTTCTTACTCTTTTTTCACTAATTATATATTGCAGCTATAAACAACTATGTGAAGATAGTTTATTTTGGGTTACTTCTTTGTAATTAATTTATAAAAGTGGCATTAACTGCTTAAAAAATATGAACAACTTTACAGCTCTAAATACCTGTTGCTAGATACAATCCTCAGAAACTCCAAGTACAGACATTAGCCATGTATGTGTGCCTATCTCTCCACAGCCCCTCCAGAACTGGGCATCGTAATTTTTATTTAGGTTTTACTGATTTTACAGGTGTAACATGCATATTAGTATTTATTCCCCACTTTTTCCAAAGAATATTTGAAGTCTATATGAGAGATAAACCCAGTTCAGCACAACCTAGAAAAATAAGGAAACAAGACAAAACATGACCAGCCCAGGTTGGATGCATGAGACAAGTGCTCAGGCCTGGTGCACTGGGAAGACCCAGAGGGATCGGGTGGAGAGGGAGGTGGGAGCAGGGACCGGGATGGGGAATACATGTAAATCCATGGCTAATTCATTTCAATGGATGACAAAACCCACTGCAATGTTGTAAAGTAATTAGCCTCCAACTAATAAAAATAAATGGAAAAAAAAAAAAGACAAAACATGGCGAGAAACAGAAAGTAGAGCTGGAAAGATAACACTAAAATGTCTTCCTTGAAGATACTTAAGTTAGTAAAAAAAAGTCAGCCCGTAAATTTGTCTAACTAAGCTGTCTAGCAATCATCAGTAAGATGAAAACAGTCACACAACTGAGTGTCAAATATAAAAGCAGTTTCTTAGGTGAAATTCTGACTCCAAAATCAGGAATTTCTCCAAGGGTTCTCATGAAGATGTCATCTCAGGAGGGCATGGATATGCGCAAGACAAATTCCACAGGACTCAGACCACCTCTGCACTGGCCAGTGACATGGGTCAATAAAGCCCCGACCAAGCACACAGTCCCTGACGCTCCGGCTGATTCAGAAGAGATGGCCTGGCGTGAGGGATAGTGAGCAAACCTTGCCTACCCGCCTTCACAATGTCTCGTCCACCCTTCCCTGGTTTGGGTTCTCATTACCTCTCCCCTGGAGTTCAGCTGCTCTTCCCACTTTTGATCTTTCCTTTCTTTTTCAACCGAACACCTTAGATCACGATCTGGTCCCCACATACCCTGCTAGGTTTCCTATTGTTGAGAATCTGCACTTAGCTTTCCCGCCTCTCTAACAGTGTAAAATTATTCTCTGCCCAGATTACTTCTGCTCCTCTCCAATCTTCCAGAAGCTGCACAAGGAGGTACCACAGGGTCTCATTCAAGGCTCGGTCCCCATCTCGCCTCCTCTGGAAAGATGTCCGCTCCATTCCCTTGGTCAAAATAACCTTGCAGGCTTCACAGCACTCAACAGTGCCCTGTCGTACCTTAACTGTTGCACTCCTCAACTACCAGAATGTTTAATACCATTAAACCTTTTTCCTGATTATTAAGAAAAATTTTCAACAGTTCCAATTGTAGCTCCTCTCTGTAGATGAAATAATTTGATGATGAAATAAATCTTATTTTGCTTTCTTCTAAGGTTTCTCATTCTTAGCTTTTTTATTTGGTGGGCATGTAAGGTTCATATCAAACACAGACCTTAAATAATCTGCACACAAACTTCCCTGTCTTCTTCAGCAGCAATTAGTAAAAAGCAATCCTGTTCCCCCTTGTTTTTCTAATTCTCATGTAATTTGCTCCTGAGAAACTGAATTTATTTCTGAAATCCCTGGTTTATTTTACCATTCTCTCTTTTTTTCTATATATGAAAATCACATTTAATTGTGGTAACTTCATTTTAGTAAATTCTGAAGTGTCTGCTACATTTAGAAACTTCCCCTCCCAAACTCCTGCTACCTTCTTTTACTAGAATAAACAATGTAACATTGTAATTTAATATTTTAAGTGTTCATACTGACCTGAAAGGTATCTTTATCTGTAAATTTATCTTTTTGTTTTCCTCAGCTAGATCCAAGATATCTGTACTTCCTCAGCTAAATCCAAGATAAAATCCAGAAACAGTCTTTTAATTCTTTGAATAAACCTCTTTCTGTATTAGATTAAGTTATCATTTAATATTTAATCTCTTTATTGCTATTATCTTTAAAAATTGCCCTTTTTAAAAAGTCTGCTAGGCTCTCTAGCTTTTCATCTCTGGCATCTTGTACTGTAACTGAATTTTGTGGGTTTATCTTACCATGCTGCTAAATTTATCTCTATTGGTATTCTGTTTTCTCTCAGATTTTCCAGTAAGATTGTTTCCCCCCAATTTCCAGAAAATTATATTTCTATTCATTCTGAAAACATTTATTACATGGCTAATAGAATTCCAGCCACTATACCAGGCAATAACATAAAAAATAATAATTCTCAGAGAGCATTCAGATTGAACAGGCAGACTGAATGCAAATAATTCAATACTTTCTGCAATGGCTTATCTCCTTAGGTAGCTTAGAGGAAGAGACAGACAATGAACTGATTTATAATATTTATAAACATGGCTAACTTTCACTCGCATCAAATCTTAAAAGTAAGAACACATTTCTTTCTTAAGACTATTACCAGTACTCACTCCTAGCTAGAAACTATGGCCTCCTTTTAAAGGTCTAAATGGCCTGTTTTATAGGTGGCAGTGGGTCACCTAATTCCTCCCCCAGCTCCACACAATCACTGTAATTTTGTTACAGTTCAGAAAACTCCATTTTCTATTTCTATTGCACAGATTTACAAGTTAGCACAACATTTATTTTGCAATGTGAACTAACTCTCCTGCCACTCTGTTTTCTTAGCCTGCTTTAGATTCTTCAGAGGACTAACCACAGTTGTATATTATAAATTAGTTTATTGCCTATCTCCTCCACTAAAAAGTCAGTTCCCTGAGGGTACTGTTTACTAGCACGTCCCTGGAAGATACCACAGAGCCAGGCATAGAAAAGAATGCAAGGGGACATGCCTATGGCTAATTCATGCTGATATAAGGCAGAAACCAACACAATATTGTAGAGCAACTATCCTCCAATTAAAAATAAATTTTTTAAAAAAGAATTCAAGTGGCCATTTATACTATTGTAAAGATGCGGGGAGACAGTTCTGTGTTGATCTCTCCTATCTCTGCACATCTTGTGAGGAGACACTGGCGGCCTCTCTTCTGCACCCTCTTCCAGGATAGCTGTATAGCGGACAGGCCGTGAAAACAGGGTTGGGGCCGCACTCAAGTGAAAAGGGTAGGCTGTCACTGTCTAATATAAAAAGGTTTCTCTCTGGAGCAAAAGTCAGGCAGGCTCATAGCCCTATAAAAGATACTCTTCCTTAGCATAACTCACTGCCTATACAGGGATTACCTGGTCCTCTCTGCATGCCCTGTGGGCACTGATATGTAGGGACCCAGTACAAATGCACTAGTTTGTACATTTACATTTGCTGATCTACTCGGGCCACTCTGCCATCATGAACTGGCTTTTTTTTGTTTTCCTGACCCAGGAAGCTTGTGTCTTCTGCCAGTATTCATGGAATCATGAAAGTGAAAGCATAGTTGCTCAGTCGTGTTCAACTCTTTGCGACCCCATTGACTGCAGCCCTCCAGGCTCTTCTGTTCATGGAATTCTGCAAGCAAGAATACTGGAGTAGGTTGCCATTCCCTTCTCCAGGGGAATCTTCCCAACCCAGGGAGCAAACCTGAGTCTCCGGCATTACTGGTGGATTCTTTACCAAGTGAGCCACCAGGGAAGCCCACGAAACTATGGCAAGCTAACTTTTAACTTGCAAGTAGAGTACATCTCAGATCCTTCGAAGTTCTTCCCAAAGGAGCTAAGTGATATAATAGCACATTTGTGCTGGTAAATTCTTTTAGGTTTTACAAAATTCTAAAAGGTTATTCAAAATTTTCTAAGAAAAAACACAGTCTAGCAGTATAAATTACTTCTTTTCTTTAAGCATTCTTTACCAATCCCTGGGATAGTCTTCTCTATAATGTCTGTGTAAAGTCATTTTATTTTTTTTCCAAAAAAAAGAAAACAAAATTGTCTGGCTGAGGTCTTTTTTCCACCCCTAGCTTTCAAAATCTTTGATTATTTCCTTAATTACGTTTTCTGTGTATTTTATCTTTAGAAACTAGATCTCCATGACCTATTTTCTAGATTAAGTTTCTTTTGTACTACAGTTCCCTGTTTGATCTATTTAGGTTTTAACTTTTAATGTTCATATTTTTTGTACTGCTAGTCTCTGCTGCCTTCAATAATTTTTTTTCCCCAGGAAATTAAACATATTAGGGCTTTACGCCTTCTAAATACATGTTTAATTTTAAGTTTTAAAGTATGTCGCCAAGCATGTAGTCCTCAGATTTTTAAGACAGTCCACTTTACAAGGGAATATACCCTGTGGTCGTGAAGCTAGTTGAATATAGGTTGAAACACTTGTTCATTCAGATGAATAAAACAGAGCAAAAGTACCTGGTTTTTGTCAAATTCAATAACTGGCAAAATGAAGGTGGTAAGAACTATCAAGGTAGGTGAGTTCACTTTATCGCTCTAAGGAAAAGCCAGTAGTAGTCAGTCACTTTTAGGAGCTAGACAGTTACTAATGACAAACTACTCAAATGTGCTTTTCACAAACATTACCATGTAATTTTTCAGCAAGAGAAATGTTTAAACTTTTGCCTTTGCTTCAGTGAATGAAATGTATAACGGTTAAGTGTTCCAGTAACTCACATTCTGAGACTCCGAAAGGACAGCACAGTTGGTGCAGCCAGGTAGGCAAATTCTGCAGAATTCCCAAAGATGCTACATTCATTTAAAACACTCTGAGGGCACCAGAGTCTGAGCAAATACAGTGTTATTCATGATACTCCAGAGGTCCAACAGTGTCCTGTCAGTGGCTTCTGCAAGTACCTAACATTACTAAACATGTAGTCTTAAAAATCAATGAACAGACTCCGGAGTTCATTAATGCAACTGTACATTTAGCCATTGGTTACCTGAGTTTTCCAACAAGGTTTAGAAAAAGATCAAAAGTACTCACAGATGAGTCAAGTGAACCAGGCTTTTCAAATAGTATAGCAGCTAGTTTTTAAAAAAAATCTCTTTAAGCACTGCTTTGAAATACTTCAGTGTGTGGGAATTATGAAGGTGCTGAATGAAATTTTAGCCTAAAGAGGTACATTTTGGGGATGAGGAAGTATTTTTAAAAACTCTCAGTGCATATATAAAGTATTTCCTGATAAAGATAAAATGGCTGAAAAAAATTTTAATGCAATTCTGAAAATACTTGATTTTTCTAGACTTGACGTGTATATGGAAAAAAGGCTGCTCATCACTGGTATACTCTAAGACTGGAGAAAACAGGAATGAAGAGGAAAAAGGTCAAGAGTGGTTCACTGTTGAAACCATGGGTTAGAAATTACAGGTTAAAGACACACATGGAGAGGACACAAGCTGCTGTCCAAGTGACCCTGGATAAGTCACTCATCCTCTCTGGCTCTCAACTTCCCTACCTGTACAATAAATGGACAGAAGTTGCTATGGTCCTTTTCATTGTCTAAATTTTAGCTTTCACTTCTCTACCTGAGCAAGGACAGGAAAATTAAAAATCAAAATACAAAACCAAACCGAAAAAAAAAATCCTAAATGATTATTCTCGGTCTAATGATTATTACTTAAGAGTTCAAGGTCTACTATGGCCCTCTTGGCAGCTTATTATTTACAAGGTAACAAGTTAGGAAGGCTTATTAAAAGGACACAGACTTATAAAGGACACAGTACAAGTGGCTTTGATGTCAAACTTTTCACATGAAGATGATCCAAATACCATTGAGCTGCAGTGGAAAAGTATTAGCCTCAGAGTCATGTTTAACTTGGTTCAGTGACATTTCTCAGGTAAGTGACAACATTTCTGGGTCTTTATTTTCTCAGTTGGAAAATGACAAAGTTTCACTAGATTATCACTAAGACCTTTCCTAAAACCAAAACTCTACATTTCTAGGTGGTTCTCAACCTACCCTTTTGTAATGCATTGCTTCCAAAAACAGCTTGGTCTGCTTATAGATTTCTTGGCCTGTCTTGTGGAAGGTCTTGAGAAATTCTATGAACTCTTTAGACACTCTATCCGTTTCAATGCTGGTTTGCCGGTTTATGGAAGGACTGGGAGCTTTTGCTTCCTGAATTTCTGCTGGGAAAATTAAACATAGTAAGTTTTATTACACAGAAGATCCATGCATGGAATTACTTTAAGTATCTAATTTAAGATTATTTAAATTATGCTAAATCAAAGTTAAACTTGAATTTAAGTTATTTTATGTTTAAATATTTGCATTTTCCTTGTTTGTTTGTTTAACACTAAGTCGTGTCTGACTCTTTTGCAACCCTATGAACTGTAGCCCACCAGGCTCCTCTGTCCCTGGGATTTCCCAGGGAAGTATACTGGAGTGGGTTGCCATTTCCTTCTCCAGGGGATCTTCCCAACCCAGGAATCGAACCCCTGTCTCTGCATTGCAGGCGGATTCTTTACCCCTGAGTCACCAGGGAAGCCCATGCACCTAGTAACACAGCTTTAAAACACATGAAACATAAAGAGAAGAAATTTAAAAATTCATAATTTTAATAGGAGAATTCAATGCTCCTTTCTTGGTAATCAATATTATAGGTAATACAAAACAGTCAGTAAGGACAGAATACCTGAACAATGTTATCAAACAACTTGAAGTAACTGATATTATAGAACACTCCACCCAACAAAAACAGAATACACATGCAATCTGACAAACTAACAGTGGTAACAGTATACATATAGCAAATGTTTATTATGTGCTAAGTACTTTCCTGATACTTTGTTGTATAATCCTCACAACTCTATAAGCTAAGGCTTGAGAACATTAATTAACTTGGATGATGCTGTAGCTATTTAAGTGGTACAAGCTGGAATCTGAACCCAGGACTCTGTGCCTTAACTCTGCAGCCTGAGCTCTTTACTATGCAGTATCTGCCTCACATGTCAGAGTGGACCGAGGACTCTTTCCAGAGAACACCATGCCCTGAGACTTTGGATCTGTAAGCCATGCAAGGGCAGGAGAACTCTAACCATCTCTTTTACTGCCTTACTTGTGCACACTCTCTCCCCTCAACAAATACTATTCTCCAAAGACAGATGATTTTGATTTTTAAAAAATACTCTTTAAAAATGCTAATCAAAGTAAAGATACTCTGTATGATACTATAATGGTAAATACATATCATTATACATTTGTCCAAATCAACCGAATGTACAATGCCAAGAATGAATCCTTATGTAGACTACATACTTATGAAAATCATGTGTCAATGTAGGTTCAGCAATTGTAACACAAATGGACCACTCTGGTGGGGGATGTTGATATTGGAGGAGACTGTGCATGTGTGGAGGCATAGCACCCATGGGAAATCTCTGTATCATCCTTTCAATTTTATGTGAACCCTAAAACAACTTTAAAAAAACTTAAAAGATAAAAAGATGAACTGCATTCACTAGCTATGAATTAGTATGTGCATGAATGCTAAGTCACTTCAGTTGTGTCCGACTCTCTGTGACGCTATGGCTCATAGTTCACCAGACTCCTCTGTCCATGGAATTCTCCCAAAGAATCCCCTTCTACCCATTATCCAGATTCACAAAGTTTTAACATTTTGCTCCATGTCTATGTGCATTTTTTTCTAAATTTTTTCAGAGTAGATGGTATGTATCATGCTCTTTATCCCTTAGTTTGGGTATTTCTTAGCAACAAGGATATTCTGTTGCTAACTATAGTTACTGGAAAAATAAGCATTTTTTTTTAAAAACACAAGATCAAACTGAGGGTCACACATTTATTTAGTGGTCATACAGTCTCCTCTAACCTGGAAATGTGTCTTTAATTTTGAAGAATACAAGCCAGTTATTTTTACTGAATGTGCCTCAATTTGGGTTTCTCTACTGTTTCCTCATGACTAGATGTCAGGTTATAAATTCTCAGCTTAAATATTACACAATTGATGTTGTGTTCTTCTCAAATTATCATATCTAGAGGCACAGAATGTCCATTTCCCACATTGTAATATAGCTATCATTTCTCTATTTGTCATCAGTAAATAAGTTGTGGGAGTTAACCTGAATCAAGGTTCACAACTTGTTCCTCAGGAAACTCCCTCCTGTCACCCCAGATGCAGCATCCACTGGTGAAACCTGTCTGAACCAGTTCCTCCCAGGATGACTATAAAATGGTGATTTTCTAGTGCTCGGGCCTGGTGCACTGGGAAGACCCAGAGGGATCGGGTGGAGAGGGAGGTGGGAGGGGGGACCGGGATGGGGAATACATGTAAATCCATGGCTAATTCATTTCAATGTATGACAAGAACCACTGCAATGATGTAAAGTAATTAGCCTCCAACTAATAAAAATAAATGGAAAAAAAAAAAAGAAAGAACAGCTAAAAAAAAAAAATGGTGATTTTTCTATCTCCATTACTCCTATATTTGTTAATCAACACTCTATGGTAAGCAAGAGTTTTCTTCCCTTCTTTATTTATCTATTTTATTAGTTGGATGGACTAATGGATTATTGTTTTATTCATCTGCAGTCCATCTATTGTCTTTATTTGTTTTGATACCCAAATTTGGTCAGTGGGAACCCATTCAAGCTGACCTCTGGATGTTTGACATGTCCCCAACATTTCTGAGGGGCCCTCCTTTCCCAGTTCCAGAATCAGTCATTTCTCCAAGGAACCCAAATTCACTTCAGTGTAGGAGAGTATTTAGAATCTAAGGTCTGAGTAGAAAGATTGGCATCTTAATTCTTAAAAAAAAAGGAAAAAAAAAGCCTTCCTTTTTTTTTTTTTGTTTTTTAAAGACAGCCTTCCTTAATCCCTCCTTAGAGCACTACTTTTAGATTATTTGTAAAAGATGAACACAAGATTCTACTCAGGGTGACATCTATTTGAGCTCTAAAGAAAAAGGGCATTTTAGAATGTATGAGCAAGTATTTCAACTTGGCTGACCCACTGTGATTTACTCTAAACTACAGCTCACTCAACCCTGCTTTGGAGATTAAAAAACTGAAAGTAAATTCTCTGAGTCTTTACAGTCAAGCTGCCCCATTAATCTTCTCTGAAGACACAGCCAATTCTAACAGGAAGTTAAAATATTTTTCAAATCCCTTAGAAGGTTATTTGTGTTCTATGTACCACCAACCTGCCCTGGCTTAAGAGCTTTCTTTCATACCATCAATAGAAGCAAGTAAAATATCAAGAGCAAGGACATCTTGTATTAACAAAGTAAAATAAAGAACACAGAACATAAAAGGCCTATTGTAGTCTAGACTCAATAAATGAAAACTGCATTTAGTATAGGCTAACTTCATCCATAGGCAAAGGCCAAAAAAATAATCACCCTGAAATGCGGAGTTCATCTGGCAGAGTTTCGTAAACAATCTGCAAAACAAAGATCCAATAGCAGCCTCTTTTCTAATACACACACATCAATTTTCTTCCCAACATTCTGAGGTCTTTCTCACTACATGCTTTCTACAGACATAAAACAGCTAAAGATCAAAAAAAAAAAAAAAAAACAACTATCATTCTAAAGAAATTAAAAAAGTTAAGAACTATTCCACATGAAAGTTTTTAAGAAAAAATCACTTGAAATTTCTCTTTTAAAGTACAAATCTTCTTTCCATAATACAGTGTACACTGTATAGGAGCTGCTAGGACACGATTTTTAAAAGTGCCAAGTACAGTCATGAATGTGTGTGACTATTATGCACTTACCTATCTACATAGATACAGACACAGATATAGTTACAGGTGAACACATACATATCTGAGGTCAAGGGATATAAGGGGAAAAAGCTTAACCAGGACTTAGGAGACCTGAGCTCTAATATAGCAGCTCATTATATGACCTTGGGTAAATAAATTCACCTTATGGGCTTTCACACTGTCATCTGTAAAATGTGACAGTTAGAGCTGATGGCTTTATAATTCTTTACCATTTCACTTGTTGTCATATATCGTTTCACCAGACATCTATAAATGTACAAGGTTAATCAGACTTCCCCAAAGCAGGAATCAATGCAAACTAAACAGGAATGAATGGCTTTGATCAATACCTCTGAGCTCCTTACCAGCAGAGATTATTCTATCAAAACAACAGCATGCATCTTAAAATAGCTGACACTTACTGGAGACTTACTACGTGTGTCAGGTACTGAGCTAAAACGCCGTACACACATCAGCTCATTTACTCCTCAAGACACGCCAATGATAGGCATTACTATCCCTCAGAATAGACAGGGCTTAAAGAGATTAGCCTGCTCAAGGTCACACAGCTAGCAAACTGCAAAGCTGAGACTCAAACCAGGGTGACTCCAAAGCATACACTTTTAATCACCCTACTATACTACCTCCTCATAAATAAATCATAAGCCAAATACATTCTTATCAAACACATTTAATCTGTAACAGGTATTGATTATTCCCCTTCTTACCGCTGTACAGAAAACTGCTGACAGAGAGCCAAGCAAGAACAACTCCAAATGGGAACATGTGAATAAAAAAGACGGCTTAAAGGTTTGCCTTTACTAAAGAGAAGTGCTGTATTTTTTGATAAACAATCGTTCCTTCTAATAAAAAACAACAGTCATTAAATCCAAAAGATCAGCAAAGATCTTTAGGTGTGATACTATTATTTCCCTTCCTGCAGGCAGACCAAAAACCTAAGGACAATTATCCCAGGTTGGGGTGGAGGGAGTGGAAGAAGTGTCCAAGAGAACAGCTCTCTGACAAGCATCAGTGTTGGTTATCAACACAGAGGTAGAGAGACTAAGGTCTAACAAGAGACATTCTTTCTTGCTTCCTGCTAGGTCATTTCAACTAGCTTATCAGCTCACTGGTAGAACAAGTGTGACTTAAGCGAGAATTTTCCTGCTGGTTATAATGTGGAATTTTAAGCAGTAGGATGAAAAAGGTCAAGTACATACAAAAGTGAGCCTTTCCTATATGTTCTCTAAATAGTAATTCCTATCTAGACACAAGCTGCCTCTCAAGCTTTCAGAAAACTTCTCTTTTAGATAACTTTAAGATAACTTGAAGCAGTCATTTCTGATAAAGTATGGATAGTGACGATATTAAACAAAGGAGAGTAAACCAATATTCAAAAACTGAAGGCACAAAAAATAAAACATCCAAGTAGATACGATGGGTATAAATTTTATAAACAAAACTCTATGTTTCAACTATTTTTATTCCTCTGATAAAGTAAAAATAAGTTTTCTTAAACACAGTGTCCTCCAACCAATGAGATTTCATTTGTCATCTGCACCTCCAACCCAACATCTCAAGTCTGTGTTGATATCTCTGAATGCTTACAGAAAAAGCTAAGCCCACACACATTCTGTGTCTCATTGGGCACAAAAGGAAAAAGAGAATCAGAAAAATTACCCTTCTTTGCTCCAACCCTGGATGAAGCACTGAAGAATTTCTTCACTGTGGTAACCTTGCGGGTCTTCTCATTGGTTTTCTTCTCTTCAAACTTGGAAAATGTGAGGGATTGGGCCCCTTGGCTGCTCTGACTGCTGGCAAAGGCCTCTTCTTCCTCCCGCTGCAGACTGTAATTCAAGAAGAGATCAAGAGTAACCCTGACAATTCACCAAGTTTTCCTTGCATCTACAGGTAATAACTTGATGAACTGGGGAACTAAAACGTTCAGAATTAAGAGGTTAAATACCAAAGAGGTCTGAGGTCTCTGATAGCAAACTATCCTATGTGTCACTACAAACTTCAAAAGGGACCTTCTCCGTGGATCGAGTTCATGCAGCAGTTGTACGAGGATTACACAAAAGAAAGTCTAGTCCTCTTCCCTGACAACCTCAAAGGTGGAAGAGAGAAAGAGCTAAGTCAGTAACTACCACATAATGTGACAGCGCCTATAGTAGACAGCAAAACCCTAGTGCTATGAGAATACAGGGGGAAAAAACCTAAATCTGCTCAGAGTCCAAGAAGGTTTTTTGTTTTAAATTTGTTTTATTATTTTTGGCTGTGCCAGGTCTTTGTTACATGAGCAGGCTTTCTTTAGTTGCAGCGAGCAGGGGCTACTCTCTAGTTGAGGTCCACCGGCTTTTCACTGCAGTGGTTTCTCTTTTTGGAGAGCGTCTGCTCCAGGGCATAGGCTTCAACAGCTGGGGTACACAGGGTTAGATGCCCCACTGCATGTGGAATCTTCCCAGATGAGGGATTGAACCTGTGTCCCCTGCATTGGCAGACGGATTCTTAACCACTGGACCACCAGGGAAGTCCCAAGAAAGTTTTTATAATGGTGATATTCAGGCCAGTCTTAGAAGGATCAAGAGGATTCCGCCAAGTGAAAGGGCATTCCAGAAAGAAGGTACTACTACAAATGGGAAGGATGTGACTTGTGTTGAGGACCAAGTTCATTCAATGTAGTCAGATCACTGATGATGTGGTGGACTCTGATGTTGGATGTACAGGTAGGCGCCAGGTGGTAAGAAACCTTGACTGCCAAGCCTGCTATAATCCTGGACTTCATCATGTGGTGGGGAAATCAAGAAAGACTATAATCCAATACCATTACCTGATCTGTGCTTTAAACATAATGCAAGTAGCTGTGTGACACCTGGAGGGGCAGACAGACTAGGGACAGAGACAGTAATTAAGAACAGAGTACACAGATTTAAGAGAGAGAAATAAGAACCTGGAAATAGGAGAGGATGGAATTCAAAAGACCTCTCTGAGCTGAAATAAGCAGAACATGCTCAATTAGTTGTAACCAGTGTGTGGGAGGTGAAGGAGAAATTAAGAGTGATTGATGTCTTTTAGTCAACTGAATAAAGAGTGATGTCATTAACTGATACAAGAGGAGGGATAGGAGGAACTGCTGGGAGTGGGGATTAGAGTAAATGAAAGCAAGGAATTTGGCCTTGGACCAGCTGAATTTGAGGTATTTATAATAAATCTCAAAAGTTATCCATAGAACTATGATTCTCAAAGTGTGATTCCCCAGATAGCAGCATCAGCATCACCTGGGAACAACCTAAAACTGCAAAACCTGGGGACTTCCCTGGTGGTCCAGTGGTATTATTCATGGCATTTTATTAGCTCCTGTGCTCACTAGACATTCTGTGTTTTAATTTTTATCGCAGTCACATTCCTGGATAATACTAACAAATGCCACTTCTTAAGGAAAAGTTAAATTTCTGTACTTTCAGGACCATGGATACAAATCAACAGGTCTCTACTACTGTGCGCTTGTCACTGTGCCAGATGTCATACCGGGTATATTAAAAGAATGAGGAAAATAATGCTTGATGAAAGTCATAAGCCAAGTCCTGAGCACTCACATCTATAACCTCATTTAATCTTCACCATAAAGTATGCTTATTTTCATTCAAAGGAACTTACTGTCTACATTAGAGAACTAAGACTTAACTCATCCCAAACACAAAACAATTAAAAGTTAAGACAAAGTGAAGAAATCACTGAAAGCTATTTGCTAAGTGCTGAACAAAAGAAAATATCCATTTCTCTTAAAATTAAGCTGACTTGCTGACAACTCAAAAGAGAAGTGAAAAATGTATCCCGCCATGCTGCGTATCCAGTTACATCATTGTCTAAAACCCCAAGTTAAGTCCTTTTACCGCTCTGCCAGTTCCCAATCCTCCTGAATCTGCTTCTGCCTGGCTTTGTGGTACTCCTCCCTCCAGCACTTGGAGCAGAAACCCTGCCAAGCAGGGTTGCCGTAGTAACCACATCCTTTCTTGCAGAGGAGCTCTGATTGATCCACATGAATTCCTCGGCGTTCAGACTTAAGGCTCATCTTCCTCCTGCTAATCAAAGAGCAAACAAGAAAGTGTTGTTGAAAATGAATTCACTATCACTCTGCTCATAGCAAAGAAATTAAGAAAAAAAAATGAATGAGTTTATCAACTTAAGGCTGTCAGAGAAGGAAAGGGAGAAAGAGGGGAAAAGAAGGTTTCAATATGGCAAATTCCTGTCATACTAAAGAACAAACTTCTTATTCCTGCCCAATAATAAAGCATACTTTAAGAAAGGACCAATTGGATTAAATACCTAAACGTAAGACATGAAACTATAAAACTCCTAGAACAAAATATAGGGGGAAAACTTCACAACATTAGATTTGGTGACAATTTCTTGGATATGACACCAAAAGCATAAGAAACAAGAGCAAAAATAGACAAATGGGGCTACATCAAACTTAAAAACTTCTGCACAGAAAAGGAATCAACAGAGGGAAAAGGCAACCTATGGAATGGGATAAAATATTTGCAAACCATTTATCTGATAAGAGCTTAATATTCAGAATATGTAAAGAACTAAAACTCAACAACAACAATAAAAATCCAATTAAAAATCAGCAAAGGCCGTGAACAGACAATTCTCCAAAGAAGATATGTGTGTTAGTGTTAGTTGCTCAGTTGTGTCCAACTCTTTGCGGCCCCGTGGACTGTAGCCAACCAGGCTCCTCTGTCCATAGAATCCTCCAGGCAAGAATACTGGAGTGGGGAGCCATTTCCTTCTCTGGGGGATCTTCCTGACCCAAGGATTGAACCTGGGTTTCCTGCATCATAGGCATATTCTTGGCCATCTGAGCCATGAAGAATACAAACAGCCCACTAACACGTGAAAAGATGTTTAACATCACTAATTATTAGGTAAATGCAAACCCAAACCACAATGACATAGCACCACATGCCTGTCAGAATGGTTATCATCAAAAAGAACACAAACAACAGGTGTTGACAAGGATGTATAGAAATCAGAACACTTGTGTACAGTTGGTGGGAAGGTAAAATGACACAGTCACTGTGGAAAACACTATGTAGGGGCCTTAAAAAATTAGAAACAAAATTATCCAGCAATCTCACTGGGTATATTCCCCAAAGAACTGAAAACAGGATCTTGAAGAGGTATCTGCACGCTCATGCTCACTGAGCATTATTCACAATAGCCAAGAGCTAGAAGTAATCTAAATATCCATCCAAGGATGAATGGATGAAGAAAATGTGGTATACATGATGGAATATTATTCAGCCTCCAAAAGGAAGGAAATTCTATCATATGCTACAACATGGATGAAGTTTGAGGACATTATGTCAAGTAGAATAAGCCAATCACAAAAAGACAAATCAAAGACATGATTCCACCTACATGAGGTATCTAAGTAAGTCAAACTCTTCAAACCAGAAAGTAGAATGATGGTTGCCAGGGGCTAGGGGGAGGGAGGCAAAGAGGAGTTGCTGTTCAATGGGAGAGACTTTCAGTTTTGCCAGACAAAAAGGTTCTAGAGATCTGTTGCACAAGGTACATATAGTTAACACTTCTATATTACATACTTTGAAAATGGTTAAGATGGGGCTTCCCTGCAGCACAGTGACAAAGAATCTGCCTGCCAATGCAGAGGACAAAGGTTTCATCCCTGGTGCAAGAAGATCCCACATGTGGTGGGGCAGCTAAGCCCAACTACTACAACTACTGAAGCCCACACACCTACAGCCCAAGCTCTGCAACAAGAGAAACCACTGCAGTGAGAAGCCTGTGCACCACAACTAAAGAGGCATGCACCAAGCATTACTTCTGAGGATTCTCAAAGGCAAAGGGGAGGAGGAAAATTAAGGAAGAAGACCAGAACTCACTGTATCACCGAACCCCCATTCAGGTTACCCTTTCTCCCCTCCACTATCACCAAGTCAACCCAGAAATGCATGCCAGGGCACAGAGCGCTCCTTTAGTTCTGGCTCAAAGAATGAGAATAGAAACTCCTAACACTGAGAGGAAATATGAAAATCCCTCCATTTTCTTGTCTTTTCCCCCCTTCTCTTGAGCCACTGGCAATCACACAATGTCCACAGAAGCGACTGGAATGAGACACAGCAGGAGCTACCCTCTGAGTAAAGGGAACTACCAATTTTTCCCTCTCTCGAGTCTCCCAGACAGTGATGGGAGCACAAGACAGAGCAGGGTAACTACTTCCACAGCTCTCCATCCAGAAGAGAGAAGATAAGCCCCGAGGGAACTTAAAAATACAGGAGGAATCACTGAGGAGAGTTCAAGAAAGCAAGCTGTGAACACCCTAGCCCAGGCATGCATGGATAGGTCTGATGCTATTCAGGACCAAAAACTAAAACTCACACTAATAGAGACCACTGCACAGGTTTCAGACTGGCACGCACCAGGAAACAGGTTGAAATAGCAATGTGAAGCCTCTGAAAAATGAACTGACACGGGAACCACAGCTCACAGAAGTAGGGTTGGAACCAGCAGCCTGAACTTGTCAGCAAAATGAAAAACTTTCACTCTGCAAATGAAACTGCGAGAAAAATGAAAATACAAACTACAGACTGGGAGAAAATACTGGCAAATCATATATCTGACAAAGGACTTGCACCCAGGATATGTATAATTCTCAAACTCAATAGAAAGGAAAACCATCTGATTTTTTTTAAATGGGCAAAAGACGTGAACAGACTTATCCAAAGAAGATAAACACATAGGAGATGATTCTCCATGGCTTCTCACATTTCTGTACAAGGGGCCTTTGTAATTATGACTGTCTCTTCAAGAAGGTTTGCATATCTAACATTCTCAGAAGGAAGCAATCCCTGCCTCCCTTCAGAGCAGAACCACTCTTTGGGCAAGCCAGACAGACAGAGCGTCAATCGCCCTCCAGGGCGAGCCAGCTGGCTCTGTCTGCTGCCCACTGTGAAGAGTCTGAGTTCCTCAAGCTTAGGCTCCTCAGCTGTGACACCAGCGCCATGGGGCTTGGGGCCAAAGGCAGCCACATGAGATGAAGCTTACTTTACTCATGTCCTGTGAATAATGAAGTCCTTTGTCTCCGACTCCAGAGTCTCATGACTTCTGCCAGCACCTATGAAACTGGCAGGCTAACTGGTTACATTTCAGACGGTAATAAGCCATGTCAGTCACATCACCTTGACAATGTGGCAGCTAAGCACATGAAAAGTAGTTCAACATCATCCATCAGAGAAGTGCAAATTGAAACCCCCATGAGACATCAATACACACCTACTAGGAAAGGCTAAAATTAAGAACAATACCAAGTGGAAGCAAGGATGCAGAGCAACTAGAACCCTCCTGCTGCTACTGCTGCTAAGTCGCACCAGTAGTGTCCGACTGTGCGACCCCATAGACGGCAGCCCACCAGGCTTCCCCGTCCCTGGGATTCTCCAGGCAAGAACACTGGACTGGGTTGCCATTTCCTTCTCCAGTGCATGAAAGTGAAAAGTGAAAGTGAAGTCACTCAGTCGTGCCCCACTCTTAGCGACCCCATGGACCGCAGCCAACCAGGCTCCTCTGTCCATGGGATTTTCCAGGCAAAAGTACTGGAGTGGGGTGCCATGAGAACCCTCCTAGTGGGATGCAAATAGTACATCTACCATGGTAAACGATTTGGTAATTTCATTAAAAGTTAGATACACTTACCATACAACCCAGCAGTCCAGTTCCCAGTTACTTCCTCCAGAGAAATAAAACTGATGTTCACTCAAAAATCTATACAATGTTTCTAGTGACATTATTTATAACCTTTTAAAAATGGAAACAACAAAATATCCTTCAGTAGATGAATGATAAACAAACTGTGTGGTACATCCATGCAATGGAATGCTACTTAGAAAAAAAAAGTAAGTGATGCCATACCGAACAACTTGGGATGAATTCCCAAATGCTTTATGCTGAGTGAATGAAGCCACTTTTAAAATTTTATGTACTGTATAATCAGTGTGTTAGAAACTGATGTTAGGGCGGCAGTCTATAAATGAATAGCACAAGAAACTTTTTTAGAGGTAATAGAACTGTACTGAGATGCATTATGGAGGTGTTTACATAAATCTATACTTTTTTTCCTGGCTTCCCAGGCAGCTCAGTGGTAAAGAAGCCATGTGCCAAAGCAATGAGCCACAGAAATGCAGGTTAGATCCCTGGGTTGGGAAGACACCATGGAGAAGGAAATGGCAACCCACTCCAGTGTTCTTGCCTGGGAAATCCCATGGACAGGAGAGCCTGGCAGGCTATAGTCCATAGGGTCCCAAGAGTCGGACGTGACTTGGCGACTAAACCGTCACCACCACCAAGGACAGACAGGATTTAGATTTTATCATACTTAGCATTTAATAAATGAGGCTGAGCTAGAAAGAAGGTTAACAAAGTCTAGTCAAGAGTCTAGAATGTTAAATTGAGAAACTTTAAAGACCATTTACTTTCTTCTATTATAATACAGATAAAGACACTGAGACTGTGAAGCTATAGTCTGCTCCACCAAAAAGGTAGTAAGTGGCAGGGACATCACAAAAGCCTAAACTTGTACCATGTCCTGAGTTCCATCAAACTATTTTGAGAGTCTGAGCTAAACTCACCATCATCAGCCTGTGGTCCTTCTTCAATTTCAAGAGGAGTAGGCAAAAAGAAATATCTACTTTTTTCCTTGTATTGATTCAGTAAGTTTAAAAATTTTTATACTACAAAGACGATAGCACCGCTGTGTTACTAAAATGAACATATTTTAGGGAGGCTACCTAACATATGTGTCAGCAACTTCCCTTTCCTTGGGGAAGTGTTCCCCAAATGTAAATCTCTAAATCTACAGGTTGCCATGTTTGTATATGTGCAGTCCCCCTCCCCCCAGCTTCAGGGTCACAGTTGGCTGAACCAGAGGTGGATACATGACCCAAAATGAAGTTCTGGAAATGAGAATGAGTCTGGATTGTTCTTTTGAATGATGGAGAAGGTGAGGCAGGACCACCTTCCAACAAGCAGTCTGAGTAACAGGATAATCAGTCTGCAGACT